AGATTCTGGAGCCTTCTCCTCAGACCTCGAGGAGGCCAGCTTCGTTTTGGGAGTGATGCGCCGCAGGGTTTTACCCTTCAGCGCCTACTGCGTGCTTGGCCCGCACGGAGCACTCGGGCCTCTCCCGTCGCATCCCCCCTGGCCCTCGGGCAGGGCCCGCCATACCGTTCTCACTGGAAGACGCCGGCCGGGAGTCGCCAAGGCGTGCCGGCTCGAAGGGCTAGACTCTCTGCAAAATGGACAGGGAGGTGAGAAGACTGGGGAGAGCCAGTCAGCTTCGTTTATGCCTAGACGGATCCTTGTGAAGCCAAAGTCAAGAGCCAGCCGTGTGCCCTCTGCTTAGCCTGGACCCCAAACCTCTGAGAGCTGTACTTTGGGCGTGGAGACAAGGCACCAAAAGGGGCTTGATTGCCTTCCGGGCTGGGCAGACAGTCCCTAAGCTGCTCACTCTAGTCTAGTGCAAACTCAGAAAGCCCTGTACTGGAGCTGCACTTGGTCACAGGAAGGGGCCTTTGGCTTCTTTGTAGGGTCAAGGCAGGCGTGAGTAGATTGGAAGTTGAGGCACTGGCCACAGCCAACTTGCCTGGGAAGTATGACCTTGTAGGACAGAGAGAGTGTAGAGGGTAGGATGGAGATGACAGAAAGGAGGCCTATTTTGGATGGAGAGGGAGGTCTACATTAGAATATTTATTACTCATTCAAATATTTTTTGAGCCTTTCCTAATATGAGTCATGCATTCAGCCATTTGCACCAGTACTGACTGTTTTACCAGGCTCCAGGCCCTGTCCTGGGGCTACAGTGATTAAGACAGCGTTCCTGTCTTCATAGAGCTTACAGGCTAGTGGGAAAGCTAGACAGGTGAGGGGCATTTGCAGTACCGTGTGCTGAGAGCCACAGACGGGAAGCGCAGCCGCAGGAAACAGAGAAGGGGCCCTTAGCTCAGAGTAGGTTGGGAAGGAGAATGCGTTATCTAAGCTGAGGCCTGAAGTATAACCTATCCTTAATGGATTGGGGTGAGAGTGGAATAGGAAAGAATAGTCTCTGGGTAGAGGGCACAGTGCGTGCAAAGTCCCAGAAGCACGTTCTGGGCACTGACAGCTCAGTAGGGCTGGAGTACAGCCACCCTGCTGATGGCTGACAGAACAAGAGGAGACAGAGAGAATGCATTTGGGAGAAGAAATGGGCTGAGCTGATGAGTAATGCCCACCCGGGAGAGGATGAACGCAGGGAGACCCCTGCTCCTTTGAGGACACAGGAGGCCCCACAGGCATTCTGTAGTGGAGGATGTGACACGTTCTTTTATAGTTGCTTTACAAAATTAATATTTATTTTTATCAAGAAAATACATACACATAGCTTAAAAATCAAATAGTTATAAAGGGCCTGTAACAAAAACAGAAGTCCCACTGGCCTTTCTCCCAACCTTTATCCTAGGCCGCGGGGGCAACTGCTTTCAACTCAGTTTGGCTGTTTCTTCTGGTATTTCCTTCCTTATTTCTAAATGGTATATGTACTGCTTTTCTG